CAGAACTGCATGATGCCGCACTGTGATGAACGTCCTGCTGTTTTCTTGACATGTGGACAGCACGTCCTTTGCCAGGACTGCTTTGATGGGATGGTCCGTGCTAGCCGTCCTGCTGAATGCTGTGCTGGCGCAGCTCTCCTTGGATATCCTTGTGAACATCCACGCCACCCTCAGCGAGCCTGTCCTATCTGCCGTGGTGGGGGCTTTTCTTCCTGACTGGTCTCAATAGAATCAAGCAGGTCGGGAGCAACACTGATTATAGGACATATAAAGCTTTCGATACTTGAAAAAACGAAAAGAAAAAAAGAAAAAAAGAAAAAAAGAAAAAAAGAAAAAAAGAAAAAAAAAAGAAAAAAAGAAAAAAGAAAATAAGGAAAAATATAAAATATGTTGAACTTCGTTGTGACAGTGCCAATTGGTTTATCTGAGGGATGTGTCAATTGCTTTGCTTGGCTTATACGCCTTCCTTCCTCTTCCCTTGTCCTTTCTCTCACTGGATCCTKTTTTCYTTTTCTTGCCTCTGTGAGGTCTGGTTTCCTCCTCCTTTTCTTTACCTCTTTGCCTTTTGGCTGCGTGCAAGTGGGTCCTTGTGACACACGGGGATGGGGGCAGCCAGCGCTCAACCTGTCATCCACGTGGCTGGCCTTGTACGTAAGAGCTGATGAACAGGTGGGGCTTTCCTTCCTTACTTTTTTCTTTCCCTTCCTTGTTTTCCTTTTTTCCGCCTTTGCGCTCCGATTTACAGTGTGACAATTTTTTTTTTTTTTTTTGACTATTGTTCTAATTGATTCATCATTCTGCCGAAGATTGTTCTTGTCTACTTTGTGCGGACTGTGTACTTTCGTTCCTATAGCTGTATTTGGGGTATCTTTCTGTCGAAATACATCCTCACATTGTTTTTCAACTACACACGACTCTCAAAATAGCGCGAAACGTCATTATTGCTGTATGTATTGCCTGTCTCTTATACACATCTAGATGTGTATAAGAGACAGAGATTGTTCTTGTCTACTTTGTGCGGACTGTGTACTTTCGTTCCTATAGCTGTATTTGGGGTATCTTTCTGTCGAAATACATCCTCACATTGTTTTTCAACTACACACGACTCTCAAAATAGCGCGAAACGTCATTATTGCTGTATGTATTGCGGGTATCTTTCAGTCCAAATCCAGCTTTTACGACCGCACCACGTACGTTGTATTCGGCTGACGACGGTTAGATTGTCCAACGAAAAATGCGATCTGCATCTCAAAATCGGATGTCATTAGTGACATGTATCTACCTTTCCTTTCATTTCATTTTCATTTCCTATATGGAAATGCGACACTTGTTTATACAAAGACATATTTCAGGTTGTCTATACACAGTTGTATTTTGTTTGTCGGCCGCCATCGGCCCTCATACGCTCGTGGGTGGCAGAGTACTGGTGGGCGGCAAGGCGCTGGGCAAGTGGCCAGTGCCTCCTGATGAGACGGGAGCGGAGCGCAGCAGACGGTTTGTTGAAACCTGAGAGAGGAACAAGCGTGAGCGTTATTTAGAGAATGAGTACACGCTGGGAACTTCTTGACAAGATCAGTATTTGCGTGTGAAGAGCAATCGGCCGGCCATTGCTTGTGTTCTTTCTTCAGGTGCTGCTCTCCATCCACCAATGGATCGGAGCAAAACAAAAAGAAGGGAAAAGCAAAAAGATAAAAAAGGCCAATTAGATCGGAGAAAATATGAAACGCAACCAAAAAAAAAAAAAAAAAAAAAAAAAAATCTGGAAATCGGGTCCAAGGCTCGTAATCCATCCACGCGCCGCTGGTGCCGCGAAAAGCTTGGCGCGCAGCGGAAGGCCGCCAGGTCCGGCTGTACGGATGGTTTAATGATGATCCTGGTTCAATGGTGACAATGATGACAATCATGACAATGATGACAATGATGAGGATGATGAGGATGATGAGGATGATAATGACGTGGAGGACGTGAAGGATGACGATGATGATGATCGGGCCAAGAAAGGGAAAGTAGGTGTGATGACAATGATGACAATGATGAGGATGACGAGGATGATGAGGATGATGAGGAGGAGGATGATAATGACGTGGAGGATGACGATGATGATGATCGGGCCAAGCAAGGGAAAGTAGGTGATAAGACCTGTGGATATGGCGGTGGCTGCTGCACCAGCAGGAAGAGGAGGGGGAGTACTTCGTCTTTCAGGGGGGGAGGAAGAGGAATTCCTCTTTCGATTCCTTAGCGGTCATCCTCTGATGATAAAATAAGTCGGGACGACCGAATTTGGGACCTGTGGGAGGTGTTCCTTTTCCCAAATTTGGGACCTGTGGGAGGCGTTCCGTTTTTTTCCACATTTGGCATCTCTGTGGGGGGGATGACTTTCCGTCCAATTTGGGATCGGAAACGGCCCACGAACGCGCAAGTGGCCGAAAAATGGACGACGGATATATTGGATAAAACGAGACGCGTTATCTTACCGAAGGAGATGCTGTGCTTTGAAGAGAGAGAGAGAGAGAGAGAGAGAGGCTGTGCCGATCTCGAGAGAGTTTCACCCAACGACTCTTTTCACACGGCCTTGCCACACGGCATACGAAACGAAACGAGTGCATCTGCCGATGAAAGGTGGCAAAATGCAGTCGTTACCATGTTTAGCAAACCGATGAACCTGTGCATTTTCTGTGGGAAAATGCACTCGAGTCGTTCGTTTTTCGTTCCGCGTGCCGTGCGGCGAGGCCCATAATCAGGGAGAACAAGAGAAAAAAAATACTAAGTTACGACCAGTGGGCCATGACCGCTCACAAAAAAAAAAAAAAAAAAGGGCCAACAATAAGACAAAAGAGAAAACACGGCGACATACTGTTTTGAGACGACTTGACAAGAAGGAAAGAACGCGGTGAAGAAAATGAGAAAAGCTCCTCCTCAGTATTCCTCTTATCCTTTTCCTTTTTCCCCTGGAGTTTGAGAAAGAAGAAGGGGGAAGGAGAGAAGGGGGAAGGAGAGAAGGGGGAAGGGATGAAAGATACTCGCTCTTTTTTTTCCTATGATGGTGTGAGGCGCACGTCGCTCGCTTCTCGCCACGATGGTGGGCCGATCTCCTATCAACACACTTCTTCCTCGAGTGTGCGGCGATGCCCTGTGAAGGACGATGGACGGTAGGGACCCCACTCGGCTGTGCGACGACAGAGAACGACTTGCTGAGATGATGAGCGGCTGCCCACATCACTCGCTTCCCGCCTCGATGCTGCCTCACGACGGTATAGGACGACGAAGAGAAGTTCGAACGACGAAGGAAAAAGACGAAAAAAAGAAAAAAAGAAAAAAAAATATGACTCGCGATTACACATGATAATACTGTAATTGGCGAGGAGGAAGAGGAGGAAGCTGATGATGATGACGTTGATCAGCAACAGAGGAGGAGGAGAAGGAGGAGGAGGACGAGGCGTAGGAGGAGGAGGAGGAGGAGGAGGAGGAGGAGGAGGAGACCTGAGATAAACATGATAAGAAGATGGGGGTCCGGCGATGGTGTTGATGATTGTTGATGAAGATGACGCTGATGGTGACGACCATGATGGGGAGGAGGAGGAGGAGGAGGAGGAGGAGAGGAGTCGAGTGAAATTCAGATTACCATGAGAAGGAGAGGAGAAGGAGGTGGAATAAGAGGAGAAAGAGGAGGAGGAGAGGAGTCGAGTGAAATTCAGATTACCATGAGAAGGAGAGGAGAAGGAGAAGAGAAGAAGAGGAGAAGGAGAGGAGAAGGAGAAGAGAAGGAGAGGAGAAGGAGAGGAGAAGGAGAGGAGAAGGAGAAGGAGAGGAAGAGGAGGAGGAGGAGGAGGAGAGAAAGAGGAGAGAAAGAGGAGAGAAAGAGGAGAGAAAGAGGAGGAGGAGAGAAAAAGGAGGAGGAGGAGGAGGAGAAGGAGAGGAGATGGGGAGTTGGTGCTGGTGTTGACAGTGAGATGAAGAAGAGGGAGGAGGAAGAACAGGCCGGTTACTGAAATTTATATATTTCGATCGGTTCCGTGTCGCGACCTCCGGTTTCTGTTCATAATCGTCGTCCTCCTGCGTCTTCTCCTTTGCGACTCCGCCACCTCACCTTTCTCCTCCTCCGCACCTTGCTCCCTCTTCTCCCTACTCTCCTGCTACTACTACTACTCGGCTTTGCCATCATTCTCATACTCCGTATTGTGGAAAATACCTTTTTTTACCAATTCCCTCGAAAACAACGCACCTCTATCATGACTGTATCGGACTGGCTTGTACACTTTAGTGACGACGATGCGCTGTATGCTTCAAAAGAAGACGGTGAAGAGCTGATAAGAGTCATTCTTCGATTACTTACCTGCGCCTATTTGTGGCTAAATCTTCCAATTGCCAAAAACAAAAAAGAGGACGTCTTCCCATTGACTGTGCTTATCTCCTCCCTCTCTTCCCTGGGAGATTACGATATCACCTCGCACCTGGAAAGCCCGCCATCAAACTCAGCACACTGAAGATGGAACACACACACACACACACACACACACACACACACACACACACACACACACACACACACACACACACACACACACACA